TCACACAAGAAGTACCTGAGGTGAACAAAAATATGATTTATATGACATTCACTTGGGGAAATAAGTAGAATGTTTCTGTAGGCATCTCTTGGACTCTTGTCATCTTCTCTTAATAAAAGCCTTCTGTCCATTTCTGCTTCCCAAACATCTGCTTCCCATCATCCACTTTTAAGTCTTCTTTGAGTATTGTCTTTCCTTTACCTCTTCCTTCCATCAATTATAAAATCTTATTCACCCTTATCCCATACCTTTTCACATTTTTTCCATTCTTTACATCCCCAGTTCAAGATTCCATTTCTTCTCACCTGTAATGACAAAGTAGCCTTCTAAGAGGTCTGTCTGCCTCCTAACTGCCATCCATTGAGTGAAGCCTCCACACCATGGGCACCTCTGTCCTCACACAGACCATTTTGATCATGTCACTTGTCAGCTCAAAATTCTTCAGAGAAAAAGTTTAACTACATGGCTATGATTCATTGATGATCTCCAATTTACTTTTCCAGGAATATTTCCCATCAACCTTCTATATATTCTACAAACTTTAGTCAAAGTAGTCCATTCCCTCTAATAACACCAAAATCACCTAATTCTGTTTCTGTAGCTCTGTAAATTTCTACCCACCCTGCAACCTCAGTATTAAAAATGACCTATTCTATTCATAAAAATAAACACTTCTGATATTCCTAACTTTATCATTGAAATTGCTCCAGCCTTGGATCCAGATAGTACACACAATCAGATCTTGATTGACTTTTACATACAATAGAAAGAAGCTTGGAATTCATTCTTTAAGCTATAGGGACCCAATAAAGATTATTAAATATTGAAATTACAAACCAGAGTTACATTTAATACAGATAATGTTGCAGCAGTGAAGAGACCAAATTGAATGGCAGCAAAGAAACCAAAGATGGAAAAATTTATTGATAAGTTATTGTTTCTAAGAAAGAAAAGACTAAAGAAGGAGTCCATTTTGGGCAGAGGATAAGGAGCTAAATTCTCAATGTTTTGGGGACTAGGGTGAGATAGACAAGGCACAAAGAATGCAAAATTTAAGGAGGCTGTCATTCTGAGTTGCTCAGTCTGCTGATGTATGACCCAAAGAATAAATGTGTCCTAAAATTGTAGGTGCCTAGCTTTCCTTGCCCTAAATTTTTAGGGTGGATTGTAGAGATACTACCTTGGCAACCAAAGAGGTATACCTCTCAGCTCTTCCTTCAAAGAAGAACTTTACAGTTAACTGACAGCAATAGAGAATTCAGGATACACCTCAACTTTTGAGCCAGAGATATACTCCTCCTAGAAACCGCCAGCTAGTGATCGAGCATGACAGAGGCAGTAGACCTAGCCATTTATGCTCAAGGTGGAAACCCTTGAATAGGCAACCTTCTCTGTGGTGGTCACCATTGAGCTGAATGAGACTGAAAAAATCTGAAAGTTTTCCCTGCTCTATTTGCTTCCTCCCTCTTTTACCTTTACTCTCTTAGAAGGCACTTGTTTCCAGGAAACAAAATAATGCACCCTGTAAACAACTAGCTGGACCAGTCTAGATCTGGAGGTAGAGATGAAGCAATAAGCTAAATTGATTTTTTGTGTGTGTGTAGTGGTTGGAAGATGGGGCTCTAGAATCCAATTCGTAATCCCATCTCCTCCAATTATACAACACTGGACAAATTTTATTACTTCTCAGAATGTTTCTCTTATCTGCAGAATGAGAATATTTATACTAAGTGAGAACTATATGAGATAAGGAACATAAAGTATTTAGTGCAGTGCCTGGTCCAAGGTAGCCCACAATAAATGCTCAAGAAACATCAATTAAAACTATTATACACCTTTTTGAAATGCTGTTTTCCAGAGTTATGTGGTATAGCGAAATAGAACAAGTATTCACTTTCTCAAAGAATTTTCCACTATATCTAAAACTAACAAAGATTAATTTAAAACATTTAAGACCTAACTCTGTAATTGTTTTTCAATTTCATTTCCTGTTATTTCTGATATGATCCCTATTCTCCAAATAATGTCATCACCTTCTTGTCTCCTGCCATGATTTGTTTCTTCCCATCTTTCTCATCCACTAAAAATGTCATTTCCTCTCTTTTCTACCAATTCCTTCTAATAATCTCTTTCATAACTTGGTTGAAGACTTACTTCCTCTAGAGAGTCTTCCCTGACCAGCCCAACTATAACTGTTCCTGTCTACTGGAAAACCACACAGATTGTGACATTATGAAACCAGCAGAACAACAACAACAACAACAACAACAACAACAACATGAGTCTCAAATCAAGCTGAAGGTGTTCGTGCCTCTCTAAACAGTTGTTAGTGGCAAAAGAGCAAGAAAAACTCCTTTCCTTTAGAGAGGACTTCCTCTGCTCCTCCTACACTTTTGTCTGAAGCTCAGGAGACAGCTTGGCAATTGATGCTTAATAAATAAATGTGGTGCTCACTTAAAGATGACTATTTTCCATTGTGGATGTACACCTATACATTATATTCTCAATTCCTCATTCTATACATGAGCCATAAAAATGAAATGTGTGGTAAGACAATCTCAGTCATAAAATAGAGAACCTGTTGTTTGGGGGAAGTGCTTTATAACCATTTTGGGAATATGAACAAAATAAGCTCATTTTACAAAATAAATACCAGGTCTATAATACATCAAAGCTCCAGTGGGAAATCATAATTAGGGACAGATGGCAAATGTGACATCCTTTATTTTCATTATTTAGTACATATGATATTTCCTATAAAATAGCACTGGATGTTTTCCTGATACCCTACAATACCATGCAAGCTCAGAAAAATATAACTTCTTTTTATGCCTATGAACAGTCTTCAAACAAAACAGCCAACTTAAAAAGTAAGGTGAAAGTGTTTTGTAATGTGGTTACATGCAAGGAACTCTTTTATATATCTTAATACTTTAGATATGCATTAATGCACATCGAAATACATACAAAAATGTGCTACTAAATCTTCAGTCTTCCTATACATTCAGTTTGAAATCTTTAACAAGATACATGTTTTCAAAGGCCAGAATTCTACATTGTACAGGACAAAATCTTAGATGTATTAATAATATTAGAAAGAAATACTACCCAAAATAAAATTCAGTTATGCACAGAGCAATATATGAGTATAACATTAATAATCATAAAGGTTTTTAATGGCCCCTATTATAATATGCTCTTTTAAGGAACCATGTCTACATGTAGAAATGTATTTTTACTGTATTACTTTTAGTAATTATGAATTGCATAGTTGATTAAAATCAGCATTAAAAGTTATGTGATTTTTGGAAGTATACATAACCCTATATAAGTACACACCTCTCTATAAATGATAAAAAGGAAGATAGTTTTCACACTGACTTTCAAGAGTATTTATTTTTATTATTGTAACTTAGTAAACTATCTTACTGAAGTTTATAAATGTCCCTAACTCAAAATAAATTAAAATCAATTATATGTTTATAATCAATATCAGGAAGCAAAATAATGATTAGCCAATATAAAATAATTAGCCTATTTAATTCCTCATTTTAAATATAAAAAGGAGCTACAAGATGGCATTAATATTAACCTAATATGCTCCACTGAACAGGTTAATATTTAAGATGCTTCCATTTTTCAATTCATTGTGCATTAGGAAACCCACTTGTCAAATCTATTTTATTTAATTTTTTAGAAAACTGCTAGTTCAATCTACTTTTTTTTGTGAATTCTTATTCACTACCTTATTTTCTCATCTTTACAACAGTGAATAAATATTGATCTCAAGAAGCAAGAGCACAATGCAAAGTGAAAGAATTATAGTATTAGAATATGAAGACAAGAAAGCAAGTTCCTGTTACAAAAATGAGAAATACTCAACCCAACTGGTTTTTAACCATACAGCACTTATGATCATAATTATCTCACCAGTACAATTAGAAATACACATTCACATTTTTCAAACTAAGTCTTAAATAAAGTAGTGCAAGCATCTTTCTAGTTTAAGAATTTGACATAGCAATTAAGTCTGAACCTTAAATCATTCATCTCTATAACTAGAAAAGCAAGTCCCCAGGATGTAAATTTCATCCAATAAGACAAGGGATGATGAATGTATTATTAATTGGTAAGCAAATTCTTAATTTTAGAATCTAGTACCCAACATTGGCAAATAGATAATGTGATTTATGAGCTAGCACTCTCATGCTGCTTTACTAGAGTTCAATAAACACATGCACATCCTAAATGTACAGTGTGAATGTTATTCCCACAATCCAGAAAACATAGTGGGATTCAGCCACAGCAAATCCACCCCACTTACTTATCATTTGAGCACTAATATTTAGAATACCTAAAATGCCTGCTGAACACTGTGGCTCAATACCCCCCTGGGGTTACTTCGAAGCAAAACCACATTTCTTCCCTGCAGTAATTACGGAGTTTTAAGAAAGCGGGTAACATGGGGTAGAAATTCTTATGCTGCAACGAGGTAACTCTTCTTCAAAATTTAAAAAAACCAACACCCTCTACACACACACACACACACACATACACACACACACACACACACACACACCACAATCACCTGTCCTTTAAGAAAGGAGAGTTATTAAATATGTATCTAAAGCATGGCATTTGCATAGGTTTGAAAAATGTGTTTTTCCTCTACTTGCTGCTGATGTGTAAGATGTTTACAGATCTGATTAGAAAACCTGGTTTTAAATAAAAAGTATTGCTTACAATGAGATTACAATGTGAAATCTGCCTGCACAGACATATGTGTACATAAATAACACATATTTCCATACACACACCTACATTAACAAGGACATATGCACACACTCACCTAGACCAATAATTAAGCCCACACTGTTCTATAAGCCTCCTTTGATATCCTTTCGCATCCATGTTATTCAAAAGACAGATTTTTAAAAAATAATAAGCAGCTGCTTATAATGAACACCAAAGTGGCATGTTTAGAGAAGCAAATACATTACCAGACGCATTTTGAAGTTTCTGGAACACCTGCAGGTAAAAGGAGACTGTAAATCAGAAGCTGGCACACGGTATTCCTCAGAATCACAGAGCTAGATGTGACTGTGGGGGAATGCGAGGCGAGTGTGAGGCTGGAAACCTTTGAGTTGAGCTCACTCTAGGCATCAGAAAGCCTCAAAGAGGGGAAAGAAAAAGGCAGCGGAAAGACAGCTAGATGAGAAACTTCTGGCACCTCTCCAGCTCAGGAATGAATTCTCTGTAATTTGGAGACGTATAGTGATGGAAATGAAGAGAAAGTTGGATTTACAGATGAATTTGCTCAGCCATGCAGAAATAGGCAGGTAACAGTCCTGAGCTCATTTTAAAACAGTCATTTAGAAGCAAGCCTGAATCAAAACATTAACAGAAATCTTTTTCTGAAAAAAATAAAAAGGCTACTCCAGCCAGCTTTCCCAGATGCCTTTACAAACTTCAAATGGATCATTCCATCAGCTATTTGTTGAACATTTTATTAATCCCAGGGCAGAAGTAAACTGGAAAATCTAATTCCTTTTATGTAGAAAACTGGATTTATTGCTTCTTTTTATAATGCACTTTAGACATATAAATATATAGATTTACTTACAGAGTTCTCATTTCTTGAATAAAACCACTACTGTTTGGTCCAGATAAAATGGTAAAAGGCTTGAAACCAGCTTTTTAAGGAAATGGAGAGAAAAATGTCTTAATACTCAAAAGCTGAGCTGAGTACCAATATTTAAATGTACAGTTTGAAGCAAAGAGAGTATAAAGGAAGAGCCCTCAGCCATTAAGTGGCACATAAGAGATAGGGTTATATACAACCATTGAGCAGGCAGGTGGCTCAAGCCTATAAATACATACATAATTAAGGATGGGGGGAAAGCATTAGCAAATTAAGTTCTTGGAGACAATAGCTGTGATATTGTTTAGGCTTACAAATAGGCTAATAATTAATTTCTGGGGAGCACATGTGAACTTCACCTTGTCTGAAGAACTCTTAAACCTCACAAGAGAGTGGAGTAGTCAGGCATTGCACACCGGTAATCTATATTCAAGTGTAATGAGAAGAATGATATTACCATGAAGGATGTTGTCATATTTCATTGTGCCTGTGTGCCTTAACTACTCATCCAACCTTGCAAATGGTCATTTGCCTGGATGCAATAGCAAATGTGCTATCGATGGGAGGGAGGAAGTGGGAGGCTGATCTTATTTGTTTTACTACAGGTATACCTTGGGGAGGCTTGGGGATATAAAAGCCTGGGCTGAGTGTGGGAGTAATTCTTTCCAAGGCCACACTTATCTGTAATAAATTCAAAGTGGAATTAATGATGACCAATTAAGCTATTTATTATTTTAACTCCTGAGGTCAAGGGCAGCACAGTATTTATGTTTACTGTTACGGAGTCGAGGGCCAGATGGCTCAAATAGGCCAGGCTCACCTTTAAGCATGCTCAGTGAGACATATTGACTGAGTCAACTCTAGTCCTCCTCACATTCCAGTGCTTGCTCCTTTTTGTCCAGAATTTTTATCTCATAACTATTTGTTTTACCCATTCTGTGGTGTGTAATGACACAAAGTGTGTAAATAACACAATGACACTTAGGAGACCCTCTTTTGCAGAGTTTACCACTGTTTGTAGTACCGCAACAGATTCAGTGTGGGAGAATCAGAATTTCTTGTACTCATGCTCACTGACATCCCTTCATCCATCTTGGATTCCTTCTTGGTGGTGGTATGAGGCAGCAGAGTTTGCACGTGTGTTTTGGAAAATCTCCCCAGGTGATTCTGATCAAGTTCCCCACCATGACCCTACAGGAGCAACTACAATTCAAGACCATTGTTACAGTCACTGGCAGAGGAGCATGTCCCATCCACCACCACCTTCAGACTCAAGCTACACAGCTACTCAAGCTGTTTGTACTTCTGGGTCTTAGTGAATCACTCCACCACAGGGAAAACTCATACTTATTCAATTTGACCCCAAGTCTAGGTCTACAAAGTTCTGAATCCATTGAGAAGCCAAAGCTGAAGACAAAAGAAAACTCAAATCTCTTTGTTCATTCACATTACCTCTTTGACCCTCTGTTTTTTACCTGTAATATGAGAAAGAAGAGCAGGCTTGGAGTATATGATGACTCTGCCAACACACATGTGAATACCTCCAATGAAGCCAGTTTTTCCATTTTGGCACCTAGACAAAAGCAAGCCTGAAATGAGAATGCAGAATTCCTGACTTCTGTTATCTTGCTGTTTCAAAGCACCTCATCAGCAAACCAGTCTGGTGGAGGTGACCCTTCAGTCTGAGGAGCTGGCATTCACAGACATGACCTTCTGTTCTTTTTCATCAGAGGACCACTGAGGAATCTCTAGCATGAAGAAAGCACTTCATCTGCCAACTTCTGTCATCCTTCACTTCAGCATCTCCCACAGCTCCACTCCCAGGGAGCTTCTTAGTTATGAGATTCTGGGACCTTCAAGTGAATGGACACTCATGACCAAAAGCCAAGCTGCCACCCACATAAGATCCTCTTCAAAAGGGTGTGAGGTCCTGAGGAGATGGGTTCAGTGCTCACAAAAAAAATTCCTTCAAGCTCTACTCCTAAATCCCTGGTGGTAGAGAAACATCCTATGCCACTCCTCAGAGACATAAGAGAAGACTATGGCCACACCATCCTTAGTAGCCGGTCTGCTGTCCTCCACCATTTCATGGTCAGCACAGCAGATCTTTGCCCTGCAAGCCTAACCCACAGTGAGAATAAGAATAGCACAGAATATCTCAGAGCCAAGGATTCACTCACACCCTCAGCTCCACCCTGCTCGGTATTGCCCTCACTCCCTCAGGAGGAGCCCAATCTTGACAGGCATTTTGAAGACAAAGCTCATATGACCAGTGAAAATTGAAACTACCTCTTGTAATTATTCCACTAAACAATATCTCGTATCTCCTTTAGTTCTCTGTTAAGAATGTCAGAAAAGTTTGACCTTAAAACACAAATTCATAAGGAAAAGCAGAAATGTTTATATGTTCAGTTCAGAGATGTGAAATCAACCTGAGTTGGTAAGCAGAACCATTAGTAGGCCACTTTAGTAGCCATCTGTCTTTGGGTAAGCCAATTAAATCCTCATACTGCTTTTTCTTCTGGAAAAGAAAAAAAATTCTGTACCAAGTTATTTTTAGAGTTAAAATCTAAAAAGTTCCTGGCATACAATAAGTCACTCAGGAAATAAAAACTTGTGTTGTAATAATCAAAAGTTCCACTTGCCTTTCAACCCACACTAGCCTTTCAGCTCCTCAAGGACAGGAACTGTGTCTTAGTCACTTTCATATCCTCACATCCAGTGCAACAGGCCTCCACAAACATTCTACAAGTTTTTATTGAGCACCTACCACTACCACCTTCCAGACTAGATCCCAAGCATACTGTAGGGTACAAAATGAATGTGGCTCCTGCCCTCATATAGTTCACATCCTAGTGTAGGAGAAAAAGTTAAATAGTGCCATGAATAATTTAAAAACGTAAATAAATTCACTAATTAGTTAATAATCACCTTCTTAGTTTTTTATTCATAACAACCCAATTTGTGTCAAGGGCACAAATGGAAGAAAATCTGTGACTGTTTCAGATAATTATCTCCAAACATGAGGACCCAAGCTAAAGGGCTGGCCCTCATTAAGTGGCAGGTTTGTCCCTAGGAGCCATCCCCTGAGAGCCATCAGGCTAACCCAGGCAGTCCTTTTATCTGTTCTCATAGTCTCTTCCATCCTACTGGCAAAACATTCTGGTCCCTGGCCTCGCTCTTTTACATCCAAGCTGTCTGAAATGCAATAACATTTTTTTAAAGAGCAATCGGGATTTTAATTAAAGTTCCAGGGATCCAGCCAAGGATATTTTTCTAAAAGAGAAGTGATATCTGTTTTTGGAGACAGAACATTTCATAACAGAGATCTCATATACTGTCATGAATGATAAATAGTGACACTGGCTGTTCCCTCACAGGAGTATGTGTATGTGTGTTTGTGCGTGTGTATGTGCGTGTGTGCATGCATACTCATGTGTGTGTTGAATACATATCCTGCCTAATGAGTATCAAGACAAGGAAACAAATGTATCCCACTTACTTAAACCATTCAGTTGTTTAAAGTAGACAGTTAATGGAACAACCTAAGGGCCTGCCTCTTAAGAGTAGGAGATTACCTTTTGTTCTCCCTGATGATTCTCTTTGATTTGAAAGGCTTTGGCTACAAGACTTCCAGCAAAGAGCATTAGGTAAGAATTCAGCTTCTGCAAGAGCTGGTCAGCAAATGTCTACCATACAACTAAATCCAGAGAGTGACGGTGTGCGATACTGCAATTTAATGCACCTCACATGCATTGTTAAATGGATTTAAAATCATACAAAGCCCTGATATTATAGCTGGAAATTGGACAAGACTATTCCACCTATGAGTTTTATTTTTTGTAAATACATGCTTGGTTGCTGCTTGGCAAATCCCTCATAATTCTTCCTCCTAAAGCCACGCAGGAGATATAGAAAGTGAGCTCCAAATCTACCCAGATTCCTCTTCAAACTTGAAAAGCCTACACTTACAGCAGGTGGGCACATTCATGTTCATTTGGGGCCCTCCTAGGAGTTCTTGGACTCTACAAGATGGAAGCTCTAGTGAGAGCCCTGTTAGGAGCTGCAACTCCACCTCAGGCAGAGGGGCTAGAAGCTTGGCAGCTTCTGGTACTTACCCATCCCCAGAGGCTGTGGCACTGCTGTGGGGCCAGAAATCACAGATGTTTCCCCAGCATGGACAACTGAGGGGCAGACTGCTATGACTCTGCCATGAAACCTCAGCCAAGGTGCTGGCTAGATTTCTCTACTAAGACTGTGCACTTGGAACTCGTAGCTAAAAAAGGTGGTATTGAGTCCCATTTCCTTGGCATTATAGAGGAGATTTCTCTATATCCAAAAGGAAAGAATGAGAAAGCTATCTTTTGAGAGTGTGATAGACAAACATCTCCACTCTAAACCTTACAGATCTAAGGGAAAATTGATCTAATCCACACCTCTCTGGCAAGCCATCAACAATTAGGATAAATTATACTCAACCTAGTTTTTTTTTTTACATCAATTCCAGCTGGTTGTAGTAGATACAAAAGTCATAAGAT